CATTGCCCGACCAATTACTTTTTTTAAACTTCTAAAAAATGTATAATTATCTTCACAACATAAACTTGCCAGAATTTTTCTTTGGGACCTCTTGTCTTGGCCACCATTACAAAATAAATGTCCTGTTGAAGGACAAATGCGTATCTCATTTCCTATACTCGAGCCACCTAGATATGGTCTGGGATTGGGTTACGGTGGTGACGGCGACCATTCATAGATTCTGTATACATTATTCATTTTTTGGGCCATTTCTTAGTACTGTATTTTCTATTTATGTGTGTGTATTTGTTTATTTAAATATTTTATTTATTTTATAATGTGAAGCTAAAAGGAGGTTTTCTTCTTATTATTACTATTATTATTAGAGTCGCAGGAGTATCCTAGGTAGATGAAACACTTTTTTCTTTTTTTTATTAAAACAAACATTATTAGGACCAGAGACCAAAACAAGCATTTTTGGCATTTTGCCGACAAAATTTGCAGTGAAGTTACATAGATGTTTGTTTTGGCAGTTCAGACCATAATCATGTCTCAAAATTTGGCAAGATGTGGATATTTCAAGATATCTGACGTCAAAGGTCAACGGTATGTTCTGATCTACATGCTGGTTATCAGAGTTCAAAGGTCAGAAATGTCATTTCCAGTCACATTTTTACAATATATTGCATTAGAGCAAATAGATACATGTATGTTCCGAATACTTTGAGACCATTATGAGATATGCATATGTTACCGGGTACCTATTGTAGGGTCAAAGGTCAGAAATGTCTTTTCCGGTCTCTTTTGGACAAAACGTTGCAGTAGTTTAAATAGCAACACGCATTTTCTAAACAATTTTAGGCCAAAACTAGGTGTCCATGACCATTGGTTATAAAGCTATAAATATGCGATAGGGTAATTTGGGTCAAAGGTCAGAAATGTCATTTCCGGTCACATTTAAACAAAATATTGCATTAGTGCAAATAGAAATATATATATGTTCGAACAAATTGAGGCTAAACATAGGTCTCTATGACCAATGGATATATAAATATCCTACAGGGTACCTAGGGCCAAAGGTCATAAACTTCATTTCAGGTGACTTTAGGACAACATTCTGCATAATAGGAACATGCATGTTCTGAAAAAAAAAATGAGACCAAAATTAGGTCTATATGGCCAACCCTTTTTTGAGATATGGATATGCTGGGTATCTAGGGTCAAAGGTCAGAAATGTCTTTTCCGGTCACTTTTGGACAAAATGTTACATTAGAGCAAATACAAATATCCATGTTCTGAATAAAAACTAGGTCTCTATGATTTACAGTGTTGGTGATATGCATATGCTGGGTCATGTAGACTCATGAGGTCAAAAATGCTATTTCTGATCACTTTTGGACAAAATGCTACATTAGAGCCAATACAAATAAGTATGTTCCTAACAATTTGAGAGCAAAATTAAGTCTGTACGATTTTCCGTTACCAAGATATATGCATCTTGTCTTTTAGGAGCAGCCATTTTAAATGAAAATGGCGGCCATAACAGGCATCAGAAACTTGGTGCAAAACTTTTTTTTAAACTACACATATTAAAGATATTTTGTGCCAAGTTTCATACTTTGCTAATAAAGTGCACAACTTGGCCCTTAGCTGCTATTCTAAAAATGCTCAACTTGGTGCCTCAGCTGCTCTACTATAGCAGTTAAATAGGGTCTTTCAATAATGTTAAGGATGTAGTGCTTAAGATTTCTTTAACAGTTGCGGTGGACATGTTATGCCAATATCTTTATGGCCAACTTGGAACAGAAGTTTTTATCGACTTGTAAATTACTGCCTCCTATTTATCTCCGATATATTGATGACATTTTTGTTATATGGACTCATGGCAGACAATCATTTATGGACTTCTATAATAATATTAATAATACTTTTCACCCCTCTATCAAGCTTACTGTAGACATATCGGATTCTAACGTTAATTTTAAATGGTAAAATCACCACTTCCATCTACAAAAAACCTACGACACACAGCAATACCTACATGCATCCAGCTTTCACCCCAAACACACAACTCGCTCGATCATATACAGCCAAGCTCTACGTTACAGCCGCATATGCTCTGATACTGTTGAGAGAGACTAAAACTTGGACGAACTTGCTCACACATTTAGTCAACTCAATTATGATCAACATACTATCACACAACAGATCAATAGAGCCAAGAAACATAAGCGCAATGATCTTCTCACATACAAAAAGAAGCAATCATCTAGCCGTATTCCTCTAGTCGTTACATATCATACAGCTATAAAACCTCTACAACGTATCATTGACAATCTTCGGCCTTTACTGCAAGATAAGGATCTCAAACACATATTTCATGACAAGCATTTTCTTGCTTACAGACAGTCAGCCAATCTTAAAAGGCATCTTATCTCTAGTAAATTTTCTCAGTCTACCCCTATCAATGGCACTTTTCCTTGTCACAGCACTAAATGTGAGCTTTGCCATCTTATTAATTCTGAAAGTCACATACTTGGACCCAATGGCTATATCATCAACATCAAAGGACACTTCACTTGCTCATTCACTAACATCATCTATGCCATTACGTGCAATATATGCCCGAATGCTGTTTATATTGGTCAAACTGGTCAAACTCTCAGAAATAGAATTAATGGTCACAAGTTTGACATTAGACATAAGTTAATTAAGAAACCTGTAGCTGAACATTTCACTTCCACAGGTCACACTATCAATAATCTTAGAGTTGCTGTAGTTAAGAAGGGTAATTTTAAGAACAATCTAGATAGTGAAATTAGTGAACAGAAAATAATTAAGCAACTTGACTGTGTAAACTTGGGTTTAAACAAAGAATATGGCTTTTTTGCCCACTACAGGGAATGATTCACTCATTGTTTTGTTCCACCCTTCTGCTTATGCATTGTTATGTAAATACCTCCATTGTTATTATTACTTGCCTTTTGTTTTAGTCCTTTTATATTTGATTGCATGTTGCTCCTCTTATCATTCACCTGAAGAAGTGTACTGTGTACCAGAAAGCTTAAGAAAATAAATATTTCAACTAGTCTATAAAGTGCTACCGTTTCCTTATTGTTTGATTACTGTTAAGACTAGTACGGCTCACCATATTATTTATCATTTTATGACATTTGAGGTTAAAATGGAAATTTTTACATTTGTATGTGAATTGTTACTACATATTTGTGGTTAAACAAATTTTTACATTTGTGGGTGATTTTTTGTACATTTGTGGTTATTGTTTACATTTGTGCTTGACAGGTTATGACATTTGTGGTTATTTTAACATTTGCGGGTAGAATGTTTTTGACATTTGCGGTTATTTTTACATTTGTGGTAGATTTTTACATTTGTTATCTCTACAAATCCACCCCCACCCCACCTTCGAATATCCCGAACGAGTCCTCAACCCAACCAAGGCATGCAGCCACAAATACTCAAAAATATTTTGTTGCAGACCTTTCTCAATCATAACTGTTTTTATAGCATTATTTAGACCCATAAAACACAAAAATCTACTGACTTTCGGGGTTTCGCCTACGCCACCGAGGCTAAGCCCCTGGACTTTATGCCCAGTGAACCCCCTTGGAAGAACCTAACTACGGGCATGTAAATGCATGGAATGCTTTACCGGAAGAAATTGTTTGTGCAGTGTCGTTGAACATATTTAGGAATAAACTTCATTGTCACTGGTCTAGGCATCCATACAAATATTCAGTATTTTAAGCCTTAAATGTTCACCGGGACTCTACACCGTGTCTCCATGGCGCAGTATCTCTCTATGTTGTCACAATAAATCGATTCTGTGAAGTGCGGTTAACAGGCAGCAATTTCGTACATTACTATTACATTACGCCGTGACGTGTCACCTATGGTATGTGTTTTCGCTGTAGGCCTTGTTTTGTGGACTTTAGTAATAATATCAAATGGGGCGGGCATAGGGTCCATTAGAAGGTTGGAAAGCCAGATGAATAATAGTCAATGGGTCATTCAAATATTTCAAACAATATTCATCATCATCATCATCTTTGCCATTATTTATAACATTTGTGAAAATATTGCCTTCAGCGAGGCTATGAGTGACATGGTATTGAACTTTGCTACGTCTTTATCAATACTTTTAGAAAGACCTTTCCTAACGAAGTACAAATTACCCTTCGAATAAAAAACAATTGAGAGCCAATAATTTTGTTAGCGTTGACACAAGCTTCATAATATTCTTTATCTTAACTGCTTGTGTCAACGTTATAAATAACACTATATGTTTAAAAATGGATTATACAGTACATGTTATGATGTGATAGATGTAGACATTTGTTATTCGTCACTTACATTTTGGACTTTTTTGGCTTAATAATTGACTTTTTAGGTGTCAACCTGCTCAGTTTATTATGTATCACTTCATTATATATTCTGTTATTTAGTGAACATACTACGGAGTGGTGCGTTATACTTACCTAATACAGAATAATTATTACTCCGCTACCTTCCATTGTACTGTAGGCTAACGCATTCATCGTCATAATATACTAATTTGAGTAAGGACCAAAAAAAGTTGAATTTGAAAACATTTATACTGACGTATTTGAGATTGAACATGAAGTTACACAAGGCTGTACAATGTCACCCATAATAATTTGTATTTTTATTCACGGATTTACGAAATTACTACTGCCCATAATATTAGTGTAAGAATTCATGTTAGGTGGTTTGTTTTGAGCAGAAGATGTCGTTTAATTGCAAACGATGAGCACGAAATGTTTAAAATACTAGATCTAACTACTATATGATATTAAGTGCAATGATAATCTGGAAACTAGGTGACAACTTTTCAAAATTCAATACTTATAAATACCTCGGTGTACATACTACATGTAATCTTAACGATCATTGTGAAGAACTATGCGTTCTTCGTTGATCTCAGAGCGATCTTTACTGTTGATACAGGGCGTGAGCTGGGAGAATTCGAATTTGTAAGACGACACAGCAAAGAACCGATGACGGTTTATGATTTACGTTGGTAAATAAATGGCGAATAATGTAAGTTTTTGAACATAGTTAAATAAACTTGAATGGTATTTGTTAAACATATACATAGTGATCATAACTATATAATCTAGAATTTATTGAAATTAGTATGTTGCCAAATTAGAGGTTTTGATCACGCTTATGATTTCGCTCCTTAGCTAATTGATAGTACTGCAAATGCCGCTGCTGTAAAGGCTTTCATTACTGTATGTTGGGTTTGTGCAGACAGATATACATGATTCCTAATATAGGCCTAGGCAGATGAGATTCTGTATTCATAAATAATATGTGCTATAGATTGACGATATAGATCAACGATATAGATCAATATTATTATGTTATATGATTAATGGTTCCACAATTTGCATTGTGCAACTGTACTATTAGTTATAATGGATATCATAGGAAATTACCTGTAATTTGTATTTTGACTTAGAATTACGAAATGTGTGGCAGTTGCTAAAGCATGGGTCATGCCCAAATTTTCGTTTATGCTTGGATTATTAACTATGATTAAGCATGATTAGTAGTTTAGTTATTATATTATGTTTATTTTAGAGATGTTAATGCTAACCTGGAGTTTCTCAATGCTTAGCTAATGTGTCATAGTTTGGATTACTCGGGCAAAGCAGTAAGTTTAAAATTCATAGAATTAAAGCTGTTTATTTGTGCTTTACGGTATTTATATGACTATGATAAAGATTAAGCGTAATACACTAATGTGATAATATTGTGATAGCTGAGTTTTAAATGTCTATGCATAATGTGTTTGTTTACACAGATTTGAATGCAAACGAGCGAGCGAACGACTGAGTTATTCCGAAATAAACTGCATACAAACTTTGCTACGAGTCACGTGTACATATTTTCAAAAGGGCGTTCTTCTATTGCTTACAATTCAAATTACGGAGACTAAATGGATGAGTATCAAAGGATAAAACGAGCTGTCAGGCGTCAGGCAAAAAGGTTAACCGAGGATCTACAGACAGCAATAGATGAAAAGGATGTTATTGGCTATAAAAACGACCTCGAAGAGGAGTTAAAGTTGAAGTGGACCCGTCTACAAATTGTACAGGAAGAAATAATGAAACTGGTAGACAACGATCGTGAAGACGAATGGGACAAGTTTCTAGATGAGATACGTAAAGAATACAGAACCGTACAAAGGGAAGTTTGTAATTTTAAGTTAATTAGAGATGAAGCCCTGTTGTAAAAATTGGGCTAGTGTTATAATGGTTCTTTCTTTAACGAAAAGGCAAATCAAAGAATTTACTGGGGATTCAAAAGCGTATCAGTCATTTATGGTAACGTCCTTAAGTATCGTTAAAGATATACCAAATGACATAATTAAGTTAAACACCTTAATTTCTTCATGTACTGGCCCAGCTAGGGCATCAATTGAGTTCACCGTAATGAAGCCTCCAGATGAAGGCTATGATGTAGCTCTGCGAATTTTAGAAACCAAGTTTGGTAATAAGTCTGTTGTCAGTCAAGCATGGATTGCAAAGGTTATGAGTAAGAATACAATAAATTTAACACGAATTAATGATTATGCTTATGATTTGGAGAATTGCTATGAGAGCTTAGATGCTTTAGGTTATTTAAATGAATTAGATAACCAAGCCAGTTTGAAACAAATCATTGATAAATTGCCAAGGTTTTTACAGAACAGGTGGAGAACTGAGAACCAGATGATCAAAGAAAAGGGAGGAGATGCGAGATTGTGGAATGTCATCAGATTTATTAATGGAGTGGCAGAAGAGATGAGTGATCCCATATTCTGTATAACAAACGCCATTAATAGCAAAGGCAAGATACCACCTCTCAAGAAGCAAGTGAACCAGATTAGATCTGACGCTATAACAACAGGCCAAACTGGAGCTCCTAATCAGCAAGTGTTTAGAACCAGAAACAAATGTTGGGTTTGTAAGTCAGATGATCATTGGACAGATCAGTGTTAGAAGGTTAAAGAAATGAAACCAGAAATGTGATACAAGATTGTAAAGGAAAACCATGCATGTTCTGCTTGTTTAAAGATAGCTGGGAGAAATCATCGCATGGATAATTGTACAAAAAGGAGAATGTGTGGTGAAAAAATTGGAAATAAAAGCTGTGACTGATATCATCACAAGTTGTTACAAGTGCACAAAGATATAGGATCTGTTGGTTTATTAGGTGCCGATTTATCGGTAGAAAGTCAGCCACTCTTGATGGTCTTAGATGTTCAGGTGATAACAGAGCATGGTGTAGAGATTGCAAGTGTGATCTTAGACAGTGGTTCTCAAGGAACTTTTTTCACTAAGTCATTTGCTGATAAGGTTAATAGGGAAGGTATTGATATATCCGCTTGTGTTACAAAGTTTGGAGGGAAGTAGAAGAATTCCAGTCAAAATCTTACCGATTGGCCTTAAAGAGTAATGTTGATGGCTCATTGTATAAGATTAATGCTCTAGAGACGGATTTTATCAACGAAGTAGAGTCTGTTGAAGTAAAGAATTTAGAGAAGGCTTTTGATCTACGAGCCGGTACACTAAAGAGAAGGGGGGGGGGATCATTGGATATTCTTATTGGGTTGGATTATGCACACCTTCATATTTGTCAATCAATTAAAGAAAGAGAGAGAATTGTAATGAAAACTCCACGAGGATGGGTGGTCTGTGAAGGGAAGATACAACCTAATAAATCTGTGTCTAATGTAATAGTGAATCATGTTGACATGTCAAGATTCTGGACCACTGAAGGTTTAGGTGTAGACACAGGCTGTAATTGCAACAAGGAAGTTTAAAGTGAAATGGAAGGCAAGATCATTGAAGATTCATGCAGAAAGGTGGAAGGACAATGGCTTATCCCATACCCTTGGCAGAAATAATGTTAAGGGGCCTCGAAATAAAATTATTGAAAGATCCAGAGAAAGGAAAAAATTACAAATTACAGATGGACGAAATGGTAGAGCTTGGGTTTTCAAGAAAGCTAACAGATGAAGAATTTGAATAGCACAAAGGACCAACAGGTACAAGGGTGAAACGATTAATGATTACTGGCTAAAGGGACCAGACATGTTAAATAATTTGAATGTAGTCATTTTACGATTTCGTGAAAAGGGAGTAGCAGTTTGTGCTGACATATCCAAAATGTATCATAGAGTGAATATATCAGCAATTGATCAGCACACCCATCGATATCTGTGGAGAGACGTGGAAACAGATAGACGACCAGACGTGTACATAAAGACAGTACTCACATTTGGCCACAAGCCTGCATGCACCATGGCCATTACGGCACTGACAATGACAGCAAAAGAAAACTTGAATGAATTTCCTGAAGCATGCAACGCAACTATGAATGATTCTTATATGGACAGGAGGATTCAAAACAAAGGAATGGATTTCAAATGTAGATTTATGTGACGAAGCGAACAAAAGGTTCTTGGAGTGATATATGGAACCCGAAAGATGATGCATTCCGTTTTGAATTAGATGTAGAAGTTAATAAGGTGACCAAGCGAAAGGTTTTAGGAGTAATTGCTAAATTTTTGATCCTGTTGGATTTCTTGTACCACGTCATTACCGCAAAGGTTTTTGTACAAGAACTCTGGGAGAAGAACTTGGATGGGATGAAGAGTTGACACATGATCTAAAACAAAAATGGATTAACATACAAAGAGAGCTAAAGAGTACAGAGAATTTAACATTTCCAAGGTGCCTTACGCCAACTGAGGTGCGTGATGAAGTAAGTTTAGTGGCGTTTTGCGATGCTTCTCAAGAGGCCTTTGGGGCTTGTTTATACTTAAGATGGAAAATGAATGATAGTGAATTTACCTCAGTTTTTGTAGCAGCCGAGTCAAGGTTCGCACCGGTCAAGAAAAGGTTAACCATTCCGAGGCTAGAGTTACAAGGTGCTGTAATTGGAGAGGGCGTTCTTCTATTGCTTACAATCATATACATGTGCCGTATGGGGTGGGGACAAAAAAGTGACACTAAAAAGATTGCAAATGACCAGGTATATTTTAAAAGCTTCCCGAACTACTCGGCGAGCTGCACTTTATAGCGATCCAGGCTGGATATCGATTGCTACAATACAAAATAGTTTCGAATTGAATACTTGGCTTGCATATGATATGGACATACATCGTGAACTTAAATTATTATTATTTCACTCATGGTCAACCTACATTGCGATTTTGTTATTATTATTATTATTATTATTATTATTATTATTATTATTATTATTATTATTATTATTATTATTATTATTATTATTCGGGAAACGGATGCAATATACAAAATATAATACAAATAAATAAATCAAACGAACATAACCTTAACAAGAACATTAAAAATACTATAGTCATTAGCTGCTAGGAAAGCAGAAAAGCAGCCTAAGCCACCATTATGTACCTCCAACTAATGACTACTAAGATAATACAATTAATATGAAAGACATAGATAAACATAAATTAATAAATCATTGCATTATTATAATTACTAAGCCGATAATTTATGAATACTCTTCAACCTGTACCCATGCCAACCCATACCCTAAAACCGTACCCAAATTTTGGTCGACCCGTACACACAATTTTGGAGTACCCGTACACATATTTGGTCAACCCGTACACAGCATACACTAACACGTACCCAAGTTTGATGAATGATATTTTTAAAGGTTAAAGGATATTTATTTATATTGCGCAAAATACCAGAGTCTCTGTGCACAGAACAAGTGAGCAGATTAACTGGAAAATAAAAAAAAAAGAAAATCCAAAAAAAAAAAAAAAAAAGAAGAAAATCCAAGCCAGCACCCAAACCGCAGTAGGCGGATACGCCCTCGTCGCTCAGCAGGGATCTATCAAAATTTACCCTGTCCAGCAGCAGTTTAGTTGTTTTACTATAATAAAACATTTTGCAAACTGTATTGTATATTAGATAGTAATCATATTAAACTATATTATGAACGCCAAGCTTACGGGTTAGAATACATAATTACATTTACCTAGGTTAGTCGCGATTAAAAGCGTATGGAACGCCGATGTACACATTAGGAGGTTATTTTAATTAATTTATTTTTTTGCGTGTTTTAGACTTAGTATTGATTTTATTTATTTTGGTTTTTAACGATGCTTGACTAGAATCAATCATGAGATTTCCTGGAAACTCAGTGAGAGAGATTTCCTGACACTATCAATACCTAGGTACAACCTGTACTAATATATTTCATTTGCCCAGAATGAAGCTTTAAGGGCATCATGGGGGATAAGTATCCTAACTGAGGTGTGAATTTTCCGAAAATCGAGATATAGGGCTATACTTTTATATTTTTGGTCAAAGGTCGACTTGACCTATTCTCTCACTTGTTTGGACATCATCGAGTTGCATATCATTGGAAAGAAAATCCTCTCTTCTCTCTAACGATACCAACATCTCTCCAATACGTTTTAAGAGATATAAGCAGTTGTCTGTCACAAGGTGAATTTTTTAGCCAAATCCCAAGAAATTTTCAAATTGCTCTAACTCATCTGAAAATGCTGGCGCGGAGCCAAACATTTCACTGTGTGGTTATCCCAGGTGGAACCCCCAACAGGCAAAATATTGGGCGATTCTCCAATACGTTGAGTTTTAAGAGATATAAGCAGTTGTCTGTCACAAGGTGAATTTTTTAACCAAATCCCAAGAAAATTTCAAATTGCTCTAACTCATCTGAAAATGCTGGCGTGGAGCCAAACATTTCACTGTGTGGTTATCCCTGGTGGAACCCCCCAACAGGCAAAATATTGGGCGATTTTAAAAGGGTCGGAAAAAAAGTGTATTGGAACCATATGGAAAGAGTCATTAGTAATAATAATAATAGTAATAATAATAATAATAATGATGATGATAATAATGATGATTTGATAAAAAGAAGAAGATGAATATGATGATGATATAAATATAGAGAGTTATACCGCGCCTTTTGCAAAATGATACAAGGCGCTGGCGATGTTTTACCCCTGGTTATCGGATCCATACCGTAAACACTCGCATAAGTGCCGCCGGTGCTTATAACATTTTGGAGGCTTCAGTGCGGCGCTCATTCGAGTATCCGAAGAGGTAGGGGTGGCTAGCCTATAGGAAATCTAGGCTAGCCACCCAATTCAGTCCTCTAAAATCCACCTCTGCTATCTATCGTTATTCGTATCAGCATCCATTACAATTTGTTTTGTGTTCCAAAAATCCGGCCCGAAATCGCCAAACGGTGAGAAATCGCTGAAAATCAGCCCTTTTTGAGCAGTTTTTTTTAACGTATATTCGTTAATATTAGACCGATTTTTTTGGCAGTTTTTGAAACTTGTTCCTTATTTATTCAGCTATAATGTCATGTTATTTTTAATTTTAAAATCGACCATTATACATGTAGGCAAAGGCGGCCTAGGCTTGCTAAATTCTAACTATAGTATAAAGCGTCTTGGCTAAGATTGTCTCCTTGACTTTTTTTTATACAGTGTTCTTATTGATTATACAATACCATAAAATATATATATCAGATATAGTGACTGACCAAAATGAATTTAAGACAT